CCCACGGGTTCGAGACCTGCCTGGGCAGCGAGACCTCATCTCTACAATAAAAATCAAAAACTAGCCGGGCGTGGTAGCGCATACCTGTAATTCCGGCTACTGGGAAGGCTGAGGCGGAAGGATCGCCGGAGCCCAGCAGGTCGAGGCTGCGATGGCCGGGAGCGGCCACTGCACTCCAGTCTGGGCGACAGAGTGAGACTCCGACTCAAAAAAAAAAAAAAAAAAGAAAGAAAGAAAAAAGGATGTCGAGAGAGGGATGAGAGAGAGGATAACACATGATGCCTTTACTTCTTCTTCATTTTCAAGTTCAGCTGACATAGTGATCAGAAAATGATGCCAAATTGTCTTGGTTTTAGTAAGTTCAACTAATCGTTTAAACATAAGGATCTGTTGTTTTCCAGCATTATTTTTGGGTATGTATGCAGGTATGCATTGACAGGGTCTTGCTCTGTCGCCCGGGCTGGGGCACAGTGGTATGATCAAAGCTTACCACACAGTCTTGACCTCCTGGGTTCAAGTGATCCTCCCACCTCAGCCTCCTAAGTGACTGGGACTACAGGCTTGTACCACCACGGCTGGCTTATTTTTTAATTTTTTTGTAGAAATGGAGGTCTTGCTATGTTGTCCAGGCTAGTCTTGAACTCCTGACCTCAAGGGATTTTCCTACCTTAGCCTCTTGAAGTGTTGGGGTTATAGGTGTGCACATGAGGGACCACACCTGGCCCCAACCATTAATTTATGATATTCTAATATTCTTACTCTACCTTATACTGTTACATTTTATTATTACTATGTTTTCCCAAGTTAGGAGAAGAGAGAGCTGAAATGAGGCAGCATTTTTCAAGGGGTTATTTGTTACTTAGGTTCATTAAGGTCTCAAATAGCAAAAGCACTAGAGAGATAATTGAACACAGTACTGCAATCACTTTGCACCATATTTTCAAACTTGTCTTAGTATAGAATCACTTGGGTTTCTTATTGAACATAAAGACTCCAATCCTACTCCAGATGCCTGGAGTCAGGAATCAGAATCTCTAGGAGAGGAGCCAGAGAGTTTGTGTTAAACAAGGGTCTCAGATGATTTCTATTATTCACATCAACCTATATTACTTGGGTCTGTTTGGGAAAAAAACTAATTTAAAACAGAGATAAAGCATCTATAATATCTTATTTATGTGGGAGACATAAGGGAAGTCCAAGTTATGGCCGTGATATGGTTTTTATGTTAAGAATAAAAATGATTGAAATAGTTATAGAGCAAGACAAGTATATACTGAAGCGCTGCATTGCAGGCATGATCAAAATCGTGAGAAACCCCGCTGTTCAGTCATCCTCCATTTCTGC